AGCAACAAAAGCTCTCTTAGTACAATAACTGTACAATTAATTTTTTTACTTAGTTATTTATGTCACTTTACTTAACAAAAACTGTATATTTACTTAGATATTTACAATATTTGCCTAGAAAATTGACGGTGTCTACTTAGAATTAAAATAAAAAACTTAGCAAAAATTCATTTCTTTACTTAGTATTTAATTGATTTTACTTCGCATTAAAATAGCAGCCTTTCTACATCAGCTCTCAATCAAATCGATAGAAAAATAGGGGTGAGTATCACGGGTACCTAGGTAATTGGTAACGGACGAGTAAGCAGTTTCGTTTGCTGGCAATTACTCAGAACAACGAATTATCACTTCCATGTGATGAAAATTAACTATAATGGATCATTTACTCTTTTAACCAATTATCTGGAAACTCCGAACAATGTTAAGTGATGTATCTATGATATTCAATCGAACGGAAGTGATAAATCGTCATTTTGAGAAGCTAGCAATGAAAAGTAGCTGATAACTCTTCCATTATCAGTTGGGCGGATAACAGCAGTTGTAACATTATCAGTTACTTGGTAAAGTAGCAGTAGCTTCTCTCTGCTAGAAAAAAACTACAATGTGATCGTTAATTTTGAAACAATGCAAAACCTCGGCATAAACTTCAAGATCTTCAAAATTTCTTTAAGGATTTTTGACGAAAGAATCAAGAGTGACATTAGAGTGGCAGATTGGCTTCACTTCTGACATTGTTAAGTCAATAGAAGCACATCACACGTAGGGTGATGCGTGAGTATTGACAGATTATAAAAATAGAATCATTGAAGTTGTTAGAGAACGTTACCTTTTATCGTGGTTGGTTACAATTTAAAAGAATCCCTAAAAAACTATCTAGAAAAACTGGATGGTACTAGTAACCAGTATATCACAACATGATGAAATTGACCAAGGAATTGTTGGTCCTAATGTGACACAAGACACCTGTTGCCATTGTGATAATCCAGGAGCTAAGGTGCTGCATGTATCTGAGTGTCCTGAATTTTCTTGGCCATGAATTCTCAACCCACTTTTTTCTTTTTTTTTTCCATCTGGTTTCTTTCGATCACAGTCTAGTTTTATATCTCTCGCGATCAGTCTATTTCACATTGTTATCTATACACATAAAATAAATTATTCCAAATGCTCATCTGATTTCCTGAGGATCCATTGGGATCTATTGGGATCTGGGTTCCGCTTTTCCCCCCTTGTGAAGATACCATATTTTTCCGAGAAGAATATCGTTGAAATCGAAAGCACTTATACAAATAATTTGCATGTTCTATTTACTCACATATACAGGACTGCACTATTCAAAATAGTTCTCGTTATCATTCATCACAAAAATATAAAGTTTATTCATGGCTATTATTTGAAGAGAAATAGTATCAGTGATCTATCATGATTACATGAACTTTCATTTAATCTTCAATCAAACGAGCACATTTCGAATACAATTACGATTTTTTTCAAATAGAAAATCATTGTCATGTAGAGGAGAATAATCCAGCTAATTTTTCAATGAATTTATTTATATTTTTTAGTCGAATATTTTCCTGGTGAATAATTTATTAGTGTTTGACATTTGGTTATACATGATAATAATCGTTCGTTTGATTGTCTCAATCTCTACATTAGGTACGTACATATTTTCATCAAAAGAATTCAATGACTTTTATAAAAAAAAAAAAGATAACAAATTACTGTAATTGCCTCGATAAAAACGCTCATTGTCATGCATACAATTGAAATAACATCGAAAATAATGTCCGTTTTATCGTCTAGTATGCCACTTTTTTATTGCTTGGGAAAGGATAAATGTTATATATGCTTAAAAGAATTTCATTTGTGTAAATTAAACTCTTTTTGTACTTTTATTTATAGATATAAATAACAAGAAAGAGAAATAACTTCGATTTGTTTAAAAATAATTAAAAATAATATCAAAATATGAATTATCAGCATGATTTAGTTAAATTTTTAGTCTTGACCTTGATTCAGTTATTTTCAACATAACAAAGTCAGTTGATAAAGGATATCAATCACCAAGAAAAAAACATATCTCCTGAAATAGCTTCTCAGATGTAAATTTCAATGTTCTACCATTAACTTAAAAGTGAAAATAATAATTCTCATATTAAACATTTTATTACAAAATATTCGGATTGATTCATCTTTTAGATCATGCAAATACAGTATTGGTTGAACCTATGGAAACAAATGATGATTTTAATTCCCTATCATCATCATCTTCTTCATCTTGATTCGTAGTCAAATCTTGCATAAATAATAAATAGCTAATTTTTCTTTCTTCTCGTGTAGTTTTTCTCTTTGTGACTCTTGCTTTTCACGTTGTTCCTATTGTTATTTTTGGTACGATATATATTTCTATTACCATTTAATTCATTAACACATTTTTTTTCAGATCATGTAATTCCCAGATACTTCCGGTGATTTCCAAGGACATTCCAACCGGAAACGAACCGGAAAATTCTCCAGAAGGTGGAAGCAATATTCCATTTGGAAACCATCGTATTATAACCGGAGTATTCCGCACTATTCCCGCCACCGTAACCATTGAGAAAGATTTCCAGAACCGACCCGTAACCACAACGAATACAAACGGAACACGCGACGAAACTAACGAAATCCGACCGGTTCCAGCTGGGGAAATTCCGGAAGTTTCAATCTTCCTGAGATCGTGCGTAGATTTCCCGACACCATCGCACCCTCAACAAAGTAAATTTCCAGCCAACTTCCCTAATGCCAATAATCTTACGTACTACTTCAACACCATTCACTACACCATAGCAGACGCAAGCAGATCCCAACCTCACTACTACAAACTTCAGGTATACCGAAGACTTCTTCGTCGAAATCGATCGGCGAGGACGCTTAAAGGTCTTATTAACTCATTACCTTTCATTTGAGATATGTGAAAGCAGCTTTCATTCACTTTTATCGAAAAGGGTCCTTAAAGATTCTTTTTAGTGAGTACGTCTTTTTCGAGGTATTTCGAAGAGTCCCGGATTTTTTTCATATAGAAGAAGATTCAAAGGACTTTCTTGGTAAATTGGACGAATGAAAGTTCGAAAATGTTTGACATAAGTGGTCTTCATGAAGAAGGATCTTCAGCAATTCTTGTAGAAAAGTGCAAGAAATGGTGATTTCAAATAGTTGAAATCGAAGATATTGACTTAGAGTTTTTTTTCCAGGCATTTCGATTTCAAACGGTATGAATTAGATCTTTAAATATCTCAGATAATAGCTATTATGCAAGAAAGAGCTTTCAATGACTCTACCGTTAAAGTGTTAGTAATTATACTTTGTAATACCTGGTTAAAGTGCATTTGATAGGTATAAAATATTGAAATTGATGAATTGAGACTACTTTTTGCTGCTGAATAAATAATCGAGAAGGAAAATTAGGATGCAACAGTTGCAAAGTTAGGGTGTTGAATCGTGTGGCATATATGTAGCTTTTAGTATAAAATACAATGGCGAATTGATAGTCAGCACAAAGAATCAGTTGAATTTATCTCCGTCACATTGTCTTTAACGGATTTACAACACTTAAGCATGAAATAGTTATGTTCGACAAGATTTTCCTTCCTTGTTACCTTAAAAGATCTTTTTTATCTTAATGAGACTTTGAAATATCCTAATTATCGTTTAATTAGCAAGGAAGAACCCTGGAGATCATGTATCGATAGTGGTTGCTGGTGAAGAGATAAGTGGGAATAATCTTGATGAAAATCTGCATGAAAATATATAAGTTTTCTATCTCAAGTTGAGTTGCTTATATAGAGATCTTTCTGCTGAATAAATCGGTGATTGAGTAGCGTGCACATGGAACTGGATCATTTTTTTGAGACAAATTTTAATTGTAGGTCCTTTTCATAATCGAACCGCCACACTGTAAAAAAAATCGTAGAATACTAAACCCTAGTACTACAAAAAAATTTTCATAAACCCTTAAAGGGTTTATGTTTTTGTTCGAAACTCTAAAGCCGTTTATTGCTTGAAACGTTTATGAAACTAAGGGTACTTGAAAATAAAAAGGGTTTATTGCTCCAGAATTTAAGGAGGAGAGTTTGTGAGTCTACGATGAACGGTTATTATTACACACTTGCATTAAAGGGTTTCTTATTCTACGGCGAAGGGTTTATTGTTCGATCCTTGTATTCAAAGGGTTTATTATTGTACCCTGTCATAAAATAGTTTCTTCTGCTAAAAACGTTGAAATCAGACAAGTCATACATATATATCAAAATGATATTGACTTTTCTGGTTGATGACACTATTCATCAAGTATTTTTGTGATTAGATAGAAAATCGTACAATAGAAACAAAGATTAATGAAAAACAGAATAACTTTAGCGGGGCAAAGACATTTCGTACTAGTGATCCGGACACCCGGTAATCCGTCAAGGAGTTCGGAATTGATTTTTGCCTTCAAAAACGTTTATCGGGAGTACGTAACACACGTTGGACAGGAGATCGTAATTTTAAAAAATACAGGAAAATCGGAATGAAATGGTCGACAATATGTAAAATACTGTCAGGAGATCGGGACGAAAATGACAGGATGTCGTAAACTCATTTTACCTGGAGATCGTAAGTATATCGTAATACTTATAGAGTACGCTATCTGAAGGAGAATGGAAATACTATATAATTAAAAATCTCCGCTTGCAAACGTTATTGGTTAGACGATTATTAATTCACGAAGGAAGAGAAAGGAAAGAAATGATTTAGGATAATCGTAACGAAGTGCAAGAATAGTCAGTCTGAGAAAAGAAAAACAATATGTTCACTCTGCTTTGTTTAGTTTCGCATAGTAGAAGTTAAAATGGAAGAAAATGATTCTGTTTTGTAATTACATTGACTCTAATTTTAGGTGTTTGTATGATGATGACACGTAGTAGAATTGTAGCTGCTACACTAGCAGATGCAACTACTTTATTGAATTCTATAATCATATGGTAATTGTTAATGAACAAACACAACCACAGCCACAAAGTTATCATATTCTTCGAGGTGAAAAAAGATCTCCTATCTGTTCACCTGTTACTTCTAGCCACCTCTCACGCTCACAAGCAGTCAAAGTAACATGTAATAAGAATGATGATGTTAGTGGTACAAATTTATTTGTGTAAGCATTTTCGAATAGGAAATAATGCACAATCTTTGTTTTATTTTTCTTGATTTATAACTTTAGTCTTTCAAAGTCAACTACTAGTTCACGTTTTTCATCATCTAACTCTTCATCTTCATCAGCTAGTAGCTCATCTCGTTCGTCATCCAGTTCAAGTACGGTATCGTTGTTATCATCAAGCTCATCTTCTACAAGTTCAACTTCATTAGTTACAGAAGAATTAAGTAAATTGAAAATAAATACTAACAACGATTCTTCTTCTTCAAAATCAACGACTGTAATCCCTCTTACTCAGGAAATAGATCGTTTACCACAACCTGGATTCTTCGAAGCTTATAGAAGTAACAAAAATGGTGTCAACTTATGTCTTCATGGTTATACATATGAATATCTGAGAACTATAAAATACAAGAAAATAAAATGGAAATGTAAAGACATTCGATATGCAGCAAAATGTGGAGCAAAAATTTATACAGGTTCAAATGTGGGAACGGATCAAATGCCAGTATATGAATATATTGGTTCAAATAATGTTTGCCACTCACATGATTCTGATTTTGATAAACAAAAAGTAGCAATATTTAACTATCAGCTAAAAAATACAGCTGAATCAAATAAGTCTATTCCTCCTTCTAAATTAGTTAATCAACTGACAACCGAAATCAAATGAAACGACAAACAAATAACAATGATACCAAAAGTACAAACATTATGTAAGCCTATCTTCTGAATATCTTAAGGACATATGTCATAGTCCTAAAGAAGTACTTGATTTTTTATTATTGCAGGCAGAAAGGTTCATCGTGCTAGAAGTAGAACGATACCATGTATTCCAAGATCTCTTATATTTGATATACCTGATAGCTTCTCATTCACATCATCGGGTGAAAAATTCATTGTCTTTGATCATTTATATTCGAATCGAACAAAAAGAATTCTTGCTTTTGCTAGCCCATTACAACTACGAAAATTATTTAGTTCACCCTTAGTATGTCTAGATGGAACGTTCTCAATCGTTCCTAAATGTTATAAACAATTATTAATTATTCAGTCAATAGATGCAAAGAATTATGAAGGTAAGAACACGTCTATCTCGTTTTTCTCATTGAATGACTCATTCTTTCTCTCTGTAATTAATTTAATTGAATGACATATGCTTTCTTTAATTCGTTTCTTGTGTACCTATAGCAACACCAGTTCTCTATGCATTGTTTAACGATAAAAAGACATATACATACACGTTGTTATTTAAAGCACTCAAGAGAACAGCAAAATAAATGCAAATGAAGTTTAGTCCAAACAGAATAATTACTGATTTCGAGAAAAGTATGATTACCACAGTAAGAAAACAAGTAAGCGTTTATATGTTTGTATGTGACGAACTAATCACTTATTTCAATGATTTTTTTTCCTCTTTTCAGCTTCCGACTACTATACATCAAGGGTGTCTATTCCATTTATATCAGGCGATATCGAAGAAAATGAAGAAATTTAATTTATGGACTTATTATAAATCCGATGATGATTTACACTTATTCCTGAAAAAAGTTATGGCAATTGTATTATTGATACCATCACTGATGGATAATGCTTTTAAATTGTTGCAAAAAAAATATTTAAACAATAAGAAATTGAAAAGATTTCAAGAATCACTTAAAAAATGTATGATGTATGTAAACAAACAATGGCTAAAATCTGAAATGAGAACGATGATTACATTTTATGAAGTTGAATTTAAAACTAATAATTGGTCTGAATATAAGTGACATTTCTCATTCGATGTATCTTTTACTTACTTTCTATTACTTTAGCCTACAATTCTTCTTTACGACTCGTGGTCAACAAAATCATTTATCTATCTGGTTATTAATTCAATTGTTGATATTCGAAGAAACTGCAGTACGGATGAAACATTTCCATACGTTAAATGGTAAAATTAATGCCGTAAATAAATCTGTACGTGACGGTGTTCTTCATATTAATAAGAAAATGATTGAAATTACAAACAGTTGACTGATAACGAAATACAACTTGATGATAGTTTGATTGCTTTACCGGCACTAATTGGATTGAAGTATGAAAAATGGAGGAGAGAAAGAAAGAAAAATAAATAAAGAATTAAAGATGACGACGTCAACGTCGACGACGATTTATTGGTTGATAAATTTATTTATGCATAACTATTGATGCATGAAACTTTTAATGATGAAAGAAAAATGTTCCAGTGTCTATTTCTATATTTTCTCACTTATTGTGATATACAATTGTAGAATAATTAGCTTCATTTCTGTTTCTCTTTTATAATTTCAGATTAACTTTATTTTTCAATATCTCTCTTCTCATTATTTTCTTGTCTCAAATACACTGTAACAATTTAAACTCAGTTGGTTTAGTTATACTGTTTATTATTAAATTAAATTAAAAGAAATGGCACTTCCAATAGTTTGGGAGATTACTTTCAGATTAGATGGTGATTATAGCAGTTATGGTAAGTGTAAATATTTTTATCGAATGGATTCAAATGAAAAATAATGATCGCATCTTCTTCTATTGTTTTCCTTTCTTAGACGAACTCGTTCAAACTGCACTAAATGATGATGCTTATCAAAAATATTTTCCGGGAATTGCGTCTGAAGTTTTACTAGAACAATTGAAAAAATTTACAAGATCCAAATAATCGTCCAGAAAGAGATGATATCATTAATCGAACCCTGTGCAAGAAAGAAAACGGTAGACAGATAGACTCAACTAGGCGATATTATTTAGTAAAAGAAGAGAACCTAAATGAATATAACTTGTACGTTAAAATTACCAAAGGTCGTAATTTAGGTAAGTGTCACTATTTTATTAAGTGTTTTGATTAAAGAAGTTCAAAGGAGATAAATATATGTTATTTAAAACATGCTGGCCATGGTCATCATTGTCTTCTTTTTCTGTTCAGGATTTTATCGCGTTTATAATCATGAGCAAGAAGTCGAGAAATTAATTTAGTTTGGTTTCAATGAATTAAAATATAATGGGCAATTACCAATCGTTGCTGATTACACAAGTTTCGCATTGCATAATAAGTTCTATGTTTCAAGAGAGCGTTGTGAATTTATTTCCAGGTTATTGAACGCAACTATTATTTGCGACGCGAAATTTTTTAAAAATAGATTATGATGTTACAAAATTAGGTGCACGTAAACAAACACATAAACATCCATTGGCAACTGTAGCAGCAACAACAATTACTTCAACTGCTTCTTCCTCACGTCCTGATGGTCATAGTACAGACGATGAAGATTCAGTAAATACTGATCCACAACAAAGCTTATCAATAGTGCCAACAACACTTGCTGCTACAACGAAAACTATATCTCCTGGTAATAAAAAAAGAAAAAATAAGGATAGATTGACTGGAACAACACGTTCAACTCCTGCACAAGATCGTCTTCGAGTCAGAACAAAAGAAAGCGCTGTTGCTACTTCTCCATCCGCATCATCACCACAGCCTGCCATCGCTACAAAACCAATGCAACCAAAAACCGTGGTTTCTGCTACTAGAAAACGTGGTCGTGTATTAGAACATGAAGAGAATGATGAAAACAACGGTGATACACCTGGTATGCTAGAGTAAGTGTTCAGTTATTGTTTTCAACGTAAAAAGAGTGTGCAATGCTATGGATAAATTAAAGAGGAAACACTAGAAGTTTGTAACGATCTTCTAGCTTTTAAATTTTTTCTACTACGGCTTTGATAAGACGCAAACCTTCGCGACTTTAACGTACTAGTTTTTAATTTCTTTCTTTTAGTTGCAGTACTACTACATCAACAAACGGTAAAGCAATGAAAGCTAAAAATCGTGCTACGACAAATAAACGAATGAAAAAATAGCATTCAGTTTCTTTGCACATCTCACTCATTTTCTTATTACAGAAATCGTTATTCTTGATCGCCATTAAAAATAAATGTTTCTGTTCCTTTTTTCTGTGTTGAAAAAGATTTATTGTATTCATCAGAATGTTGTTCTGTTCATTATCTTTAAATAAAAACTATTGAGTCATTTGAAATTTCTCAAAAGTGTACACATGAACATAGTTACGAATATCCTGCCTTTGTTTCATTACGATCTTCCGGTCATATTCATCCCGATTTCCACGCAAATTTCAATTTTTTTCCTTTCAAAAATACTGCTGTCCGTTACGATCTACTGCACAACTTTCATTCCGAAGACCATGTATGTTTTTATATGTCGGGAAATCGTAACGAACATCTCCTCAGGAAGATCGTAAATAAAAGTTAGTGCGTTATGTCTCTTTCCCACTTTAGCTCTTTCTATGTTACAATAACTGGTAATTTCACATTAACAGATTTTCTTTCTCCAATCAATTAGATCAGCCTAAAAAGCAAACGACACTAAGTTCTACTCAGATGAGCCCATGATAATAAGCGTAGGTGTTTTACTTTCTAAATCCTCAATTACAGTGTAAAATAAAATCCGTAGAATACTAAACCCAAAAAGGGTTGATGAAAGTGCAACGTATAATAAACCCTTTTTCCATTTTTGAAAATTTTCATAAACCCTAATGGGTATTTTCCACATAATCATAAACCCTTTGAGGGTTTAGTATTCTACGAATTTTTTTTACAGTGTAGGTGGTTCTGAAGTTCAAAATCATATAAAAGTATTATTATTATAGATAGTTCTTTTTTTCTACAGATTTTCCAAAGCAAATCAATCAAATGTAATTATTCATTTTTAAGTTTGAATTGATCTTTCTATTTTTCTCAATTAGATATGCTTGAATGACTCATCAAGTTAAACATGAATTTGGCTTAAAGCAAGTTTCCTGAAACACGTTAGAACATTATTTGAAAGGGTTTATTGTGGACCATACCGCCATTCAACTGAACAGCAGTGTCCAAGAACTGAGGAATAGGAATTTTTAATCTGTCGAGGAATTATCAGTGCCACTGTGGTAATTCTTAGAGGAAATGTGTTAGCTCTAATATGTATAGAATGAAAAGGAGATGAAAGCAATGAAAGAGAGATATATTAAGAGCGAAAGAGACAAGCAGTGTGACTGATGTTATGTGACAGAACGAGAAAAAGATGAACTTCGTGGGACTGGAACTCACACCTTCCGCTCTCCAGGCAGATGTCCTAACCAGTTAGACTAGAAGAACATCTTAATCTTCGTTTGGCGTTAGTAAGCTACATCACTAACGCTAACAGTACATCTTTCCTTTAGACATAGTACGTTCATCCTCACGCATTGCTATATGTAAAAATTGTATCTCTTGTATACTTCAAGTGAAATATTGCCATGAAATCTTTTTTTTTGTTGAAATACTTTTTTGAAACAAATTCAATATATCTCAACAACATAGCTCGAACTTTCTTCTTGGAAAAATAAGTCCGTACGAAAGTTCACTTTGACTAGCTCAATTCATCTCACCAAGAAACAAATACGGCTCGTCTACTGACTCGGTCATCTCTTTCTCGTAGAAATGCTATTTTTAATGTATATTGTACCCTATATAAATCAACAGATATTTATATTATGTTAAGTAGAGCGTCGGATATTCCAAAAGATAGCAATATAGCTGGAAAATTACATGAGGTATTACATGAAAGAAGAAAGACAATAAAGGAAAAAACTGAGAGAACACACACGGGAAAACGTCTGCCAGAATGAAAGTCAAGAAACAACTATAGTAATTAACGTATATATACATAAACATATGAAAGAAAAAGAGAATGAACATATATAGATGATTTCTTTAGCATGATTTCAACTTATGCCACGACTTATGTGCGTATTATAATGCTAGAGTCAGAAAGCTATTTATTCACGCAATTTCAAAAAGTAAAAAAAGTATATTCTCGTTGTTTCTTTCTGTCAAATTTATCTAGACGTTTCAGTTCAGCGTCTGGACCAAGAGAAGAAGGTCGAACTTATAGAACCTTTATGTCGAAAAGTCGAAGACTAGTCACATTTTCACTGTATTAAACGGTACATATACAGATGCTACTTGCAATGTTCCAACTGGAACTTGAAGATCGACCACAACTTTGTTCATTGTCAGTTCTTGCGCCTATTACGTAGTTGCGGTGAAGGCAGGCGCGATTGCAATAGAGTTCTTGTAACTTAAAACACTTCCAGAACTTTTCTTTTACCTTATTCACTTTCGAACAACTGGCCAATAAGTTGCTGGATGGGAACACCTCACTGTTCACCTTTAACGCAGCCGGATTCTTCTGGAATCCCGGCAAGATGCTCCCCGGACTTTTGCTTCCCAGTGACACCTGCTCCCTCAAGTATGGACAAACGCTTATCCTCTTCACTCACCCACACCTACACTGACACCCACACTCACGCCCACACTCACGCCCACACTCACACTCACATCCACACCCACACACCCACAAATAAATAAATTTATATTTTAATCTCGTGCTGATTAACATTTTTGTTAAATACAATTAGGGAGCAAGTGTCTCTGGGGAGCAAATGCTTCTGGGGAGCAAATGCTTCTGGGGAGCAAATGTCCGGATAGCAAGTGCCCAGGGAGCAAGTGTTACTGGGGAGCAAAAGTCCGGGGAGTATCTTTCTGGGTAGCATCTTGCCGTTTACCACACATACTATGTCATGAGAAATGAGTACGACCACTGTGCAAGACCACGCCAATCACATGGTATATCCTGAGAAATGACAACGACAACAATCTAAGATCATCCCAATAGCATGGTATGTCATGAGAAATGACAACGACCACTATCTAAGACAGTCACACTCATACCCTATGTCACAGTTGACATGAGAATTTCAGTTGAGATTGGAATGCACGAAACGGAAATAAAACAGATTTCATTGAAAAAATACATTTCCATTTTTTTGCTTCTTGCTCGTTATATGAAATTTTATATAAATTTGAAAATAATTGTTACGATGTTTTTTATAATATAAATAAAAAGACTAACAGAAAGCATTGATTTTATCCAAATTTTGTTCATATAAGTCATACAATAAGTAATCGATAGTATTGTAAAGGTAATTAATAGTTTTTCATATTTCAAATATAAAATTTATTTAAATCTTAAAATATTTTTAAAAACTTCTAATAATTTCGATATAAATTTAATAAATCCAGCTGAATTCTCGTTGTTATATTCATACAAAAATCCTCTAGAAATTTAATATAATAATACCAGAAAAATCAGTTATACTCATTCAAGGAAATAAGTAACATTGATCGACATTGAAATTCGATTCACTGGACCATAGATCGCCACGATTTAACAGTGGAAATGCATGGACAGGAGAGAAAGTTGGTTGTTTAACCTGCGTGTAAAAAGTCTTTGTACAAATGTTCTATTCAGGTTTTGTCATATATGGCTGGTTGTTTTTCTAGTTTTATTGCATCAACTAATACTGGATTTGAAGAGCTTTAATTTAATATAAAAAGTGTTCTATAATTGTTTTGTTTTATAGATATGATTCGTTTTGACAGAGACAGCTTAAAAACTCGAATTGTACAAGATTTCATCATTAGCGCATTTAGATCCGTTTGAATTTTTGATTTAGTGTTGGCAATTAGACTTCATCTCTGAAATAAATACCTACAAAATTTAAAAAAGACCAACTACTAGATAGATGATTGACTGAAATGCTTTTGTTCTTTGCAATGAATCAACCTGGAAAAATATATATACTATTAGCACATGAAATTCTTCATATGATTAAGATATTTGTACGACAGAGATACTTCCTGAATTTTCGCATTACAAAATATAATGAGCTACAATTTTGTCTATGTTTCTTTAAAATCTCTGATAGTTTTCTAAGTCTGCCTGTTATGCAATGCTCACCATTATGATCACGGATGCAGTGTTTTACAGAAACTAGATACAAAATTTTTCTTTTTTTAAATAGTCATTCATCTATTGTTGTATTTGTCCTTTTTTTGTACCTAGTATGATACTACCTATTCCATAAGATGTTCAATATAATTCATTGTTAAGAACTTTACTATTCAAAAGGGCTACTATTTCCTCTATGAATTGCAAGACTTTGAGTATAAATCGTTTGCAATTACATTTAATTCACAAACAAACAATAAAAAAAGAAGCGACGGAATAAGCTGATGAAAGGCGTCAATTTGATGCACAAGATAGTCATTACTACTGATAAAAGAAGAGAGAAAATAGATAGAAGGAAGATAAGTCAAGTGCGAACCTTCATCCCTTAGAACGAAAAACAAATATCTGAATTATTCACTTAAGTACAAATACAAAGATTAATGAATATTTGCTGTAGAACTGATCAGTTCTTATCATTCTGTCTTATGAATTCATGATTTCTTGCAATATAGTATCAATTGAATTCTAAATGTTTCAATCACGGAATTCAATTTTCTACATATTTCTTATAAGTTTAGTTGTGAACTAAAATATAGGCCAAGAGTGACTAATTAGAGCAAAAAGATTTTAGTTTTTCGATTGATTCATTGTACTGATAAAAAAATGAGTCAAAAACGACTACGATAACTTATTTTCATAGAGTTCAGATCTATTTCAAGTGTATTTACTAATAGAAATAGAATTTCAACAGTTTTAAAAATTCAATTCACCACAAAAAATGTGTTCCTGCAATATTTGTCTCGAGTCTGAGATGGGAATAAATTTTCATAGCGCTAACAAAAGAAGAGAAACAGGTGTTTGATTCTTACATGGATATCAAAAATATCAATAAGGATTATTGAAAGTCCATTTATCATCGCATTCGATATAGCATGAAGTCAGTTCGGTTAAAGTCTAAGACAAAACGAAATTAAAAGTTAAATATTAGTGATAGATCAGTACTCTAATTGACCTGAAGAAATATAAAATCGAAAAATTAGCAACTCTATATATATATATATATATTGATTCACTTGAACGGATGAATTTCAATGTGTGCACCGGAAAAATTTAGTAGTAGAGAAAACTCCTCATGGATTAGCAAATTTATTCTGTGAATGAAATAAAAATATGATCTTCAAGATACAAAAACAAGTTTTCATCATATGATAAGCAAAATAAAATTTTCTTATTCAAATAATTCATTTTTTTTCTTCATATACTTGGTTGTGTCTAATAAGAGTTCCATGTCTACTGCAACGATTTATGTTTGAGTAAATGAAAAATTTTACATATAAAATTATAATTATATACACGAGGAATAGTTTATTTCACAATAATGGCTGGCGGCAATTGTCGATCAGGTAAAACTTGACGATGAAGATATTCATATTGATTACGTGTTTCAGTAATCTTAATAAATGGAATGAATGAACAAATAAATAAACAAACAGTTGATTATATCTAAAATTATTTACTTGTTGTTTATATGATTTTCTACTTTCTTCTAATTCACGCTTAAGTCTCTTCAGGTCGTCTACTTCTTCAACCAGTGTTTCAACATTGATTGCTTTTCGTTTACGACAATTTTGTGCTGCAATCTAAAATCGACATTCTCAATTGCCTATTTCAATTAATCTTGCAAAGAACTGCGTACTTTATTTTTTCCACGACGACGTATATCTTTGATAATATGTATTTGTTCAGAACTTAAATGATGTAAATGTGCTAAATGACGATTATATTCTTCAGTGGTGGATTGAGTGATGTCATAAACTGTGAGTGGAATATTGTATCGACGTAGAGTTTCTTCATCTTGTTGTCCTTGCAAATTTCCGCGTGCACTTGGCCTACGCACAAATGCATGTGGAGTTAACTGTTCATCATATTCGATCTAGAAAACAATTCTATTAGGATTTCAAAGAGCTGCTTTTTTTTTATTGTATACTTTTTCTAGTTTTGTTTCAATAAAAGATCCATCAAATGTTATTTCACTATCATGTGTATTTGAGTCACTCTAAAACAATGATAAGAAAAAGCAATAAAAAAAATAATAAACGCAATCGAATTTGATCTGTCTTACTTCTATCGATGAATATAATCTGTGTCGTCGACAACTATTGCTAGTGCTACTGGTGGATTGTTCATCATCGATTCCAACACTCAACAAATTCATTAATGAATCTTGATGATTTTGATTGAATAACGGAATAAATATTGGTGATATTGTTTGAGGAAGGTTTTTATCAGTTAATTGATCGGATAGGTATTGATCGGGAAACATGATACGATTAGTAGACTCGTCGAGGGAAATATATCTAGAGAGCCAATTTGAATCTGTTTGATCGGCACTTAGTGCTATACCTTCAAATAATAAATCACTGTTTGGCAGTACTTGATTCGTAGATAATGACGATATGGATGATGATGATGATTTGATATTAGTTAAATATTCTTCAATCCAATTCTGGATTAAAACCAAACAAAAAAGTTTGAGAAAGAGACAAGCAAATTAACATACAATGTTAGATGGTGGAAGAGTTGGACTAGATGCAACGAGCAATCCACGAAAGATTTTCTCACCTAAAAATATCAAAAGAAGAAGGACAGCTAAATAAATATTGACAAGAATGACGACGATAACGCTGTGTTGACGTTTATGAAAAAAAACGAGCTCTGCCGTTTTTTCTCTCTTGCAAATATTAAGAACATAGCAGCTATTCTTAATGGTACTATCTAGGTGGTCCATAAAATAACCTAGTTTTTATGACACATTTCAAACTCGAAAATAGGTCACCGCGATGACCAAAATAGTATAAAGACCGCTTAAGCCAATAGAAACTTGATAACGCAAAATGGCAAAAGCAAATAAACAAAATAATCAAATCTTCTTTTCTTTTTCGCGCTTAGACCTAAACCAGCAAAAGTAAACGTTTTATTTACCAGTTTCCGGATCAATTTCGTAGTTCGATTCATTTTCATAAGACATTGAGGAATCATCATCATCAGTTCGGAATTTGGGACCATGATTGATTGAATGTAATTCAGGTTTTTTTTCTTTACCGAAATACCCATGCGATACGTCGTCCAGATCTACTTCATTGCTATCATCAGTACAATTCAATGGGCGTACGCCTAATTCAGCAAAATCGATGCACGATATGTCTTGAATATCCATTAAATTCATTAGTTTTTGTGCTATTGTAGGAGTAATTAAAACAATGAAGCTCTATTGGGAACGACGGCTGGACGGTAATAACTTATATAAAAGAAAACAAAACCTTTTTTTCTTTTTTCGATAGAGAAAACAAAATTATTTCTTTCTCTTTTCTGTTCTGTTCTCTTACGAAAATAAAAAAGAAAAGTGAGAGTAAAACAAGGACGTAGATTTCATATATTTTTTTATTTTCAGAACTTATCCTCAATAATACTGTTATACTGTCTGATTGCCCTTTTTCTTGTCTTTATACATATTCATTAAATATGCTTGCATTAAGTATTAAAAAGAGCGAGCGAGAGAGAGAGAGAGCGACAGACAGAATGGCTCGTATATATGAAATCCTCTTACAGACTAAAGAAAAGGAGAGAAAAAAGCATATTTTTTTCTTGTTTTATTTTACTAAATATAGACTGATCTAATGAAAAGTTTTCAAGATAAACTAAACATCAGTCTATATGAATTTTAAAAAAACACCACGTTTACTTCATTGATAGGTTTTCAATCTATCTGAATTTAACAAAATAACAATAACAAGATCAATTAATTTTAACTTCTTCATGCCGACTAGTCGATACATGAAACCAATAGTTCTGTTTTCCAGCTCGTTGTCCGAGCATGACTTCTCGTTTGGGTATTTCTTCTGGTGGTACAACACGAACGAATTTATCTCGATCAAGATCATCAAGAACTAATTCTTTCGGCCTAAAAATAAATAAAAAAGCTTTCAATAGAATTTTTTTTAAATTAATTTCTCTTCTGCAAACCATTTAAACATTTGAGGAAAGTTTTTAGTATCATTCGGTGTTAAATCATCAAGTCGTTTTGGTACAACACGTGAACCACGAATTTGATCGCATACATTTTTCATGAGATGAACAGGGACAGCCTGAAAAAATAAAAGATCTTTTCATCGTTTGCCATCGATCGAGATTCTTACATCATCGGGAAATGTATATAATCGAGCCATGTCGTACCGTCGGATACTACCACTTGGCATACAATTTAAAACACATAAATGAAGAACCTTAATAGAGAAAAATTATCGTCCCGAAATATAATTAATCAGACGTCTATTGACTTACTTTCGTTGGATCAAGTTCATGTAGTTTAAACAATGGTATATCATATCTTGTTTTAGCATATTCACGTTTGATATGTAATACATCAGAACGCCATGCATCATTACGTAAAGCTACATGTCGAGTGTTTATGGCGATCACGCAGTCACCTGTCGATTCTATTTAGATACAAATGATGAAAACAAGGACTTTTTTCGAATGTAAAATTATGTTATATAGTCTTGAATAAAGGTAGATACTCGTTCTACAATGTTACTCATCCTTTTATGATAGTAAAATTATACTTTAAGTATATATGCACAAGAGAAAAATCGTGATTAACAAGCACTAAATCACCCTTGATTGGTTCATATGTACCGAAATTATGATGATTCATATAGGTACCTTTTTTTAATGAAAAGTATGGCAGATTAGCGTTATAGCTTGTTTGGTGCGTCTATTTTGTAATTGCCCAAGTCACTGATAGAAACTGAAGATCTTAACAATCAGTATACTCTTAGAGAGAGAGAGAGTGAGCACATATTATACCGATAAGTCAACTTCGAGCAGAACTACGACTCTATGAACTTCAGAAAAAAAGTTCATCGTCTCCTAGGAACATGTTCTTATCAAGAAGATTTCAGCTAATTATTGAAAACATTAATATGTTTATTTTGATTTAAACGTTTAGCTTGTGTGTAAAGCATACATAGGGAGCATGATATATCGAACAGTAATACTCGTAAATGAAAATTAATTTGGCAATTGTCAAGGTTGTCTCATTATCTATTTTACAGGTGATTTTTACCAAAATTTGTGCTGTCTATAGCAATGAAGTTGTCCTTGCAAATGTGGGCACAGACAACAATATTTGTAACAACACAGTTTTAGATAAGGTGGTCATAAAAAGAAAATGGTGCCTGGATCATAGCCCAAGGTCATGTGAACCGATCAAGAGTGGATTGATACTTGTGACCAAGGTTTTTTGTCGTAGAAAAATCACCCTAACTTATCATATAGATTAGTAGCACCTGATTTCGGAGAACAGTTGCTTTAGTTCAAGTCTATAGATATCATGACAAGAAGAAGAACTATGATTTTTATTTGTAATCCGTTGTTGACTTTCATAATTTCTCCTCAAAATAATATAAATATAGTTAATAATAACCCCTGTAAACAACACCGAGTTTACACACAAAATGGCGAAGATTAGATAAATGTTCGTCAATATTGGACAACACCAAGTAACTTTTTCTACTGTGTATACTCTCATACAGCAGGATAGAAAAAAAATATAATCTCCAGTATGTTACAGCTAAAAAAGAGTCAGTGAATCTTAGAGTGTAAAATAAATGCTAATAACAAAATTTTTATCAAAAAGCTATATTAATATATCCGTATCTCTTTTTGGCTCAATTTTTATTTCTCACTTTAAATGTTTCCATGAAAAAATCAAGCTGCTAAAATACCCACTTTTTCCTCTTTTTGAATCAAATATAAATATTTATAAACTGATTATGTCTACTAAAAAAAACAACTCGATAGTCTCTTCCTTCTTCCTACATTCAAAAACCAGCTTAGCCGCAAAAGAAAAACGATAACGGAGCAACTGACTTGCACATGATTGGTTAACTTGGCCTTTTCTGTTCTTTGCTGAAATACCTCTTTTCTAAGTTTACGCATAATTTATAAGTTCAACTTAATATTTACAAAAGAATCTGTTCATTTAAATAAATTTACCTCCGGGATAATAGATTGGCTTATGTTCACCACGTAAAATTCGAGCGATTCTTTCGCCAGACATATGTGGACATTGCCATTTAGCATCAAATAAATACCAAACACGAGAAAATGTTGCTAATTGCTGAAATAAAAATTTGAAAAATTCACTAGACAATAGCTGTTCTTTTTCAACTCGTCACCTACTTGTGCTTTAGTAAATGCCATGTTTTTCTTTTGTATCGTTGTTTAGAAATATTTCATCTGAAAAATAATCAAATTTAATTATTCATTCAAATTAAGCAAAAGAAAAAAGAAATTGCTTCATTTCATTTAGTTCATTACAATTTAAGAAGAGAAGACCCAATGGATTTGCTATAACCTGAAACTAAATAATACTTCACTAATAAAAAAAGATCTAATTGATCATACGAGTTCTCTTATTCTTATTTTCTCATTGTCAAATGGAATAAGTGTAAATACCGATTGAATTCTCTACACTGCTCTTACTGTATTCTTGATACTACAATATCAATCAATCAATCAATTAGTAACTATTGTGTACTTTGCTTACGCATGTGAATATTTTTGAAAAATTATGATCGAATTGAAGAAGAAGTTTTCTAAGGACATGTGTATTCTAAGGATTGAATCGTTACGCTTATGAATTAAAAAAATTTTCTCATATATTCAATTCGCAGAAAAGATTTTACATTTACTTACCGTTTTACGTTAAAAAATACGATCTTTCTGAGTTTATCATTTGGATCGATCGACTCGACACAGCAAGCAAGCATATCAATGTTCGTTTTCTATTTGTTCGATGCATTGACCAATGGAAATGGAAAATTTAAAAAGGACGTCAGAATGAAGGAATATCCAAGAACATGAAGTAGACGATGGTAATAAGAGTCGTTGATATCATGGAACATTCATTTTGTTGTTAACATGGACAAATATATCAAATTAAATCGTATTGGCAAAGGAGCATATGGGTAAATTCTTGTTTTATCTTTATTCTTGAAATTCGAAAGGTTTTTGGTGCTACGTAACCAAGAAATACTACTTAAGTTTTTAGTTACAACCGAATATATATATGAAAAATATTGTGAAGTAGTTATCTATTCAATTTCACCATTGGTATGCAAGTACGAACTGAATATAACGTATCTTTGCACTTGTGTTGACTGATAAAATCAAGATAAAACTAGTTCAGTTAGAGTATGATTCATTCTTATTTTTGAATACATGCTATTTTAATTTGAAATGCCTACTATCTCATAGAATTCATTCCTATCAATCTTTTCTTCAAAGAACCTATTTCGATTGCGATCATTTTCCAACTATAAGTAATGCATAGTATTATGATAAGATTTTTAGAAAAAATTTCATCCACTGTTAAAAATCGATAGAGCTATTCAATTTTAATAGATCTATAAATTTGAAACTTCCTATAAGAATTAAAATCTTTGTAAATAGTAGAGAGCATCGAATGAGATGTTCTCTTACATCGTTTTATGTGCACAAAACAAGAATCTCGTTCAAAAAACGTTCTATGATATATTGAACAAATTTTTACATATGCAACAATGATGCAAATAGGAAAAAAGTCCTAGTTAAATCTATTTCATTTCAACTGAAATTGTAATTCTTTCTTTTAGTACTGTCTACAAATGTAAACATGTTCAGGTAAACATCATATTATATATCTTCTAAAGAACATAGATCTACATATTTAGAGCGATGAAGTAGTTGCTCTTAAACGTGTTCATCTTCATATGAAATCTCCATCAGATGAAGGTGTACCCAATAATATTATTCGGTATGCTTATTCTTCATATTTCAATCAAGTTCCGTTTTGTCTTTCTTTACATTTTCAGCGAAATCAAAGCATTACAAGAAATTGAAGATCATGAAAATGTTTGTAAAAATAATCTTAACAAGAAATTTTTATTTTATGAATCGATATCTATTTAGATTGTCAAATTGCTTGATGTATTTCCACATGGTATGGGTTATATATTCGTCTTTGAATATATGTTAAGTGATTTATCGGAAGTTATTCGAAATGTAAATCAACCATTGACAAATTCACAAATAAAAAGTTATATGAGAATGTTATTAAATGGTGTTTCATTTTGTCATGAAAATCGAATAATGCATCGAGTAGGAATTTTTAGAACAATATCG